TACCAGATGTGGTAGGTAGAGCAGGGCGATATGACCAAAAATATTTATCACGATATACATTTGAAAATTTGCGATAACGATATAACTGACGATATAATTGACACTAGACAAAATACTTTACAACTCCACAACTTTATTAGTGCAAAAAACCCCATCAATGTATTTTCACTTAAACAAGCAGCTGTTTTTTATGTGCATTAAAGTTATATAAAAATGTTACAGTGCAAATTCCTTGCTGACAGTTTAACCAAAAGGCATTTCCAGTGGAAACTGGCCGACCTATCCTCAGCATAACCATGTATAATATCCACAAAACTTAAAAAAGGTTATACACACACAATACGGTAATATTATGTTGAAGCACAGTACGTATCACTCCGCGAGGCTCCTGCCTACGATAGCCGTAATGCTCCGACAATCCATCAAGCGGTGCGGCTTTGTAGCTTTGCAAAGTCGTACTGAAACATCTGACAGATTTTTGAGTGCCGTGTACGACATAAAATCGGATTGATTTTAAGTTTGCCATATTTTCCAAACAACGCGGTAATAACAACAGCCTGCTAGCATGCTCTACCAAAAATAGTGGTTTGTTGTGTATCTGACGGACGAAAGCTAAACCAGTTCCACATCACTGAAGTTGCAGCATCTTTACAAACCAGTTCTGGTTCATCTGTTTCATTCAACGATCCGCTTTCGCTCTTTTCATTCTGCGTCGCCGCCATGTGCGTATGTAAACAAAGGCACTGCGCATTTTACCCATATTCTATCGCGATATCTCATTTTCCTATGTTGCCCAAAATTACACCGGTATTACCGTGAACAGTATGATATAGCCCAGCCCTAGTGGTAGGTATTTTTTACTGTTTTATATCCCTCTTTTTTTAAAGCCCTGTAGAATATCTGCACTTACCAAAAAAAAATAAAAAATGCTTCTTTGGAAAGTTTCATTTCCCCACTGCATACATGCAAACTTGACAACTTCCTTCCTTTGCAAACAAAACTCCCTTTTTTAGGCGTCTCTGGACTAAATTTAACTCGCAATGAATATGACAGCTCCAAAATTAGACTTTGCCAGTGTATTTTCAGAGTGTTGAGCGCACACAGGGTGAAGTGGAAATACTGAGGAGTCGGACACAGGAGATGAAACGTCACCCACAGGAGGGGGGAAAAAGAATAATATAAAAAGGCAGACGAACGCAGCAACCGGGGGTGTCGCACAAAGTTGTCAAGTCATTTTAGCAACAGGATCTGGAGAGGACTGATAAACACACATGCTCTTTCTCTCTCACACACACACACACACACACACACACACACACAAACAAACACACACACACACACACACAAACAAACACACAGCGGAGGTGCCCTGAATAACAAGTTTAAACAGGACTTATGATGACCAGAAGAGCCCAACGTAGAGGAATAAGAGGGGAAAAACACCTTTGATACGCCTTTGGTAGCCTGCAGCATTTCCGATCTTCATTCACTGCCTGTTTCCTCTCTGGACAATCAGGGCAAACACCACTGGTCAGGAACAAAGCTGCTTCACAGAGGCCACTCAAAGGCCACAATTTGTAGAAGATCCCTTTGCTCTTACGTCTTGCTCTTATGCTCTCGTTGTGTTTTTCACCTCTAATCTGAAAGCTGAAGATAAACACGAGTGTGTACCCATTCCAGGTGCAAAACGAAGCATCCTCCTCCATTCCCTGCTAATATGATTGAGCAAACCAAAAAACAAAACAAAAAGGGAAGCAAGGCAATCTTTTAAGTGTAGCTTCCACTAAATTATTGATAAAGACACTAAACGGTCAATTAGAAGCATGACAACCATCAGCACGTGCCTCTCTGCTGCTCGGGGAGGGTTTGGACTGAGCCTCTGTCTTCATTCATTGACACATGCAGGGTTTGTCACGGCTGCTGCACTTGACACTCCTAGATAAAGCTGCTGCTAACAGCAAAGGGCACAAACACTCGCCCCCTCCATAGAGAATAAAGTTTACTAACCCTGCCCTGACAAGTACACAGAGCCACACGGGTAACACGAACGGTTCGGCCACGGGAAAACAGGCTTGTGCCCCCGTGTGTGCCGAATGTCAATTAATTAGCACAGTTAGCTTAATGTTAGCCAAAGTTGTTGAAATTCCTGTGGACGACTTGCCGAAACTTCTGCGACAAAGCCAAACAACCCGCCTTGAGAAGAAAACGTGAAGCCAATAAAGACAGCCGGCAGTCAGGACTGTTCAGGCTCGACACTCTATATGTTCAAAGTGGAAATTAGCTAGCTTTAATGTTTGCTAAAGTTAGCCGGCTAGCTGTCCGATAATGGAAGCAGACGGGTTAAAGTTTTGAGCAAGCTCCGGGAGTCTCTGGATCAGCGCTAGTCGCAGCCAGCTAGCCGCGGCTCCCCCAGCCGTGGAGTGGGGACTGACTCACCGGAGTGTCGGTCCGATACAGTTGGTGTCTGTGCTCTCGATTTCCCGCAGGATACGTTCGTGCTCGGCGGCTGTCTCCAAACTCGCCATCCTGCATGTTGCTCCGGACGGTTCCGAGCTGAGCTGAACAGACTCGCCGGGATCTGTGCGTCACGGCAGGAGGAACCACAGGGTTGGCTTGATATTTTAACCGAGCAGCCCGAGTGAGCGGAGCTTTCCTCTTTGTCGGGAAGAAGGGACGTTGTGTTATGAGGAGCGGCGACCTGTAGAGTGTTAATGTTGTTAAAAGAGTTTAAAAAGTGACATTTGCGGTTTTAACTAAAACCACCGATTTAAATCGGTTAAACTGAGCACTGGAATTTTCAGTCCCCTACTTGGTTTGATAAAATAAACTAGATTTTTTACTCCCCTTTTAAATGTTGTTTTACTTCTGATTCAAGATTGAAGACTCTTTGTTGTCATTATGTAAACATAACATAGCATAACAATACACTAAGTAAATAATAACAATCACTTTTATTTGTTGGCACCTTTTAAAACTTCTCACGGTCATCAACATTAAATAAAATTTAAAATAAAAAAATATGTTTTGAGCATTCATCTCCAGTTTGGCATCTTAATCAAAAATAACAATAATGTGTTGACTGTTTTTTTTTTTTACTTTTTTGTAAAACAGTCAATTTGCAGGAAATCAATAAAAATAACCAAAATTTTATTATTTGACCAAAATGGTCCATTAAAAGGGTGAAAATTGCAGTGAAGCCATTTATTTGAGTATAATGGCTTTAATGTTTGACACCCCTGATCTATAGTAGGACAACATGGCGATAAGATATACTGTATAAGACCTTTCACCTCTAATCCGGGTAGGATCTGAAAATGACTACCTCCATGAAGTACATCGCAATGTTTTTATGTCGTGTGTCGCCTTCAATTTCACATTCAGTTCGTCAGTATCAGTCCCTTCTAGAGGCTACCTGCAAGGACATGTCTTTCTTTGTCTCTATTTATACATCCCAGACACTCTTACTGCAAAGCAGCATTGCTTTAGGATGGAGGACAGGCCTTGGGATTACATGGAGAGTGAAGAGTATATTGAAAGGTATGGAAGCAATCCAGTGTGGACTGACTACAGGAGGAACCACAAAGTAGACATCCCCCCTCACAAGACTTGTAAGACTTGCATTAGAGGTGATAACATATGTGGAAACCCCTGCTCAATTTGTTGCGATCCAAACATCATCATTCACCATCAGAATGTCAAGTTGTTGCAGCAATTCATTAGTCCCCAAACTGGAATGGTGTTGGATTCCACTCGAACTGGTGTCTGTATGAAACAGCAGAAGAAGCTAAATGAGACAATTAACAGCACAAGATCACGGCTTACTTCCTTTTCAGATTCCATATGTGGGATATGCCCACAGCATAATTCCCATGATGCTGTGGGCTCCACACCACCACCCCCTTCCTTTACTTTAGATGACAATTGTTATAAATGATATGGGGAAATACTTCCTGATGAGAATGAAGTGGCTAAAGTCAAGAAGACATATAAGGCTTAATTAAAGTGACCGCGGCACTGGTCATGCTGTCACAAAGAGACCTATTGCAAAACTTAGTTTGTTTTTAGCCCCTGAGATGTTTTTTCTACTGGTGTGCACAAAGTTGTACAATAAACCACAATGAAAAATTGAAAAAAAGAAATACTGTATAAGTTGTAAGTATGCCCACTTTCTTTAACCTAAAAATAATACAACTAAATACAAAAACATTTTAACTTTATCCATTCCTCCTCACACATGAAAATAAAGAAAACAACAACTACAATAATAATATTAATAATAATAATAATAATAATAATAATAATATTAATAATAATAATAATAAGAAGAAGAAGAAGAAGAAGAAGAGAAAGAAGAAGAAGAAGAACTGATTGCAGCCACATTTTATTATGTGGCAGATTCAGACATGCACATGCATATCTTCTTCAGTGATATCATGTGTTGGCCTCTTACTTCTGTTAATTCTGAAATTGTTTCTTTCTTGCATTTCTATTGTTTGATTATTTGTTTTTAAAGTTCCTTTATTTCATATTAAAGCTTTGTCTAATTTCACAGGAACTTATGTGTGACTTATTTATACTATATGCCTTTATTTCTGAGGGGTTTTACATCTAAGTGACCTCATATGTAATTTCCTAATATGTGTTTGTGCCTGTAAAGCCCTTTGAACATCCATATGACAATGGCCTATATACAAACGAAACAAACTGAAAACTCAAGTTTTAATAATTTTCCGGGAAACAAAAAGGTGGGCGTGACCGCTGTGTCCTTTCTCGAGCTTAAACCGAAGCAAGACTTCCTTTGATATTTTCAAATTAAAACCACAAGTATATTCTGGCCTCGCATCTTTTAGCTCTTTTATTTAATAGCAGTCTGATTTTGCTGTATCTCCAACATAATGCAGTTTTGGAGCATTTTTGTACTCCACGGACTATATGTGTGCTTTTAAAAGGGGAGCAATGCTTTTATTTTGTAGGCATACTTGCTTACTCAGACTGCAGGTGTCAGTCTGAGTAAAGCTTTCGGATCTGACGCTACTCATTGTGCCTGCTGTCGGAAGAGTGAGAGAGCGAGAAAAGTTAAGATGGAGGTAAAAAAAAAAAAAAGAAGAAGAAGAATAAAGACAATTTGAAGCGATCTGTTTGAATACGAGTGAAGATTGTCCGGTTGATAATTTGTGTTAACATGAAATGTCAGTGGTTCGCTAGGCTGGATGAGCCCGCAGCACTTTGCACATGGATCAGAGTCCATGCAGTGATAACGGGAACAAGCTGTGAAAACTCAGCATTTTAATTGCGCTGTTGTTGCAAATAAAACTTTAGTTTGTTTTTAGTTTAATTGTGCAGCTTTTGCCAACTTTAATTTAACTCGCGCATATACACAAACACAGGCGGCGTGGATCTGCTTGACTGTGTCTGTGCCACCTGCTGAGGGCAACTCTTGGACTTCAATCATTAAGACATTTGAATGGCATTTCCACAGATTCGCACGCATGCCTCGTTGTGTAACTTGTATGAGGATAAACGGCATCTCAGTTGTGTCTTTTGAGGCTGATCAAAAACACATATTCTATGTGGGGTTTTTTCCCCATTTTTATTTTTTATCTCTTTCTATTTCAGCCCCAGAAGAAGTTGATCAACTCAGCAGAGAGTTGCGTGGATGACGCCCTCCTCGGCCTCGTCAGGGCCTCTGGGGGCCTCTCTCTGCTAAAAGGCCACAGGGTTGTGCTTCGGTATGACCTTGAAAACCTCAAGGGAAAAGTGGCCCTCCTCTCTGGAGGGGGGTCGGGCCACGAGCCTGCACACGCAGGTAAGACTATTCCTTTACACATGAACATGAGATACTTCTGATTACCTCAGCTCTGATTTCTCCTCCTCGTATCCTCAGGTTATATCGGAGCAGGGATGCTGTCGGCGGCTGTTGCAGGAGGAGTGTTTGCATCGCCGCCTCCTGGCAGTATCCTTGCTGCCATTCTCTCTTTGCACAATGCAGGCAATGTGTCCTTCAGTTTTCCGTGTGTGTGTGTCTGTGAGAGTTGGTAGTGCATATATAATCACTGATCTTATCTGTTTAATAAAACCAGTGCTTGCACAGTGCAGTGTGGTGCAACTCTTTTTAAAAAAAGTCTAACTGTTGATTTGATTTGAAGTTTGACCTTTTACATTTGATCCTTTTGCCAAAATGGTTCACTGATCTCGCCCTGTGACAGTGCTGCACTGTTGCCGTCGTTAACGCTGCACCTTATAAAAATTTGGTGGCCACTTCCTTTCAGTGAGGAAAAAATCTGTGTCCATGGTGATTGCATTATTTTTGTAAGTAGTCACAGAGGGTCTAACACCTTCACCCACCTGGTGTGAAGTAACCTGTCTGCAATGGACAGACTCAGACTGTCTTCAGTCAGTCTCACAGTTTGCAAATAAGTGCATGCAGATTGCCAGCATGTGGCAGTAGGGTGGAATTGACTCAACTGGATGCCAGCTGGTTATATTTGAGTTATATTCCTGTGCAAAATCAAAGGTTACTGAGCACCTGTGTTAGTCTGCAGATAAATTACTATCCTGCAGCAACTACTGGGAGGCAGAGCCTTCAGCTTTCAGGCCCCTCTTCTGTGGAACCAGCTCTCAGTTTGGATGCAGGAGACAGACTATGGCTGTATCCCAATTCAGGGTCTGCAGCCATAAAGGCTGCATTTTAAGGCCGATTACGTCACAGCGACGCGACGAAGGCTGTCCCAATTCGAAGGCTGCTCGAAATGCGGCCCTCAAATGCGTCCTTCATTTCCCTGAATTTTAAGGAGGGGCGCCTGAAGAGTAAACTTTAAGTAAGTACTGAATATTATGTCACTTATTTATGTGCAAATGTTTAATAACGAAGAACATTAAAACATTACTGTTGGCCACATGTCGGCAAAGTTATGTGACATTAGTGACGTTTGTACTAACTTTGTTTTAAAGCCTTTACTTTAAAATATACGCCGTTCAATAGCTGAGCTTAATCTTACAGAGAATGACCAAAGCTCATGTAGAAACAAACAAACACATGATGTTCTCCTTCATGTCTGTCAGACAAAGCTGTATGAAACGTTTCCAGCTGTTAGTATCATGGTTGCTAGGCAACCTGGGCAGCGCAACGGAGGCTAGACCGTCCCATTTCACAAGCCTCGCATTTCCGGCCTTAGCGGTCTTTAAGTACGCGGCCCTTGAGGATCATTGAGGCTGCGTACTTTAAGGCTGCAGACCCTGAATTGGGATAGAGCCACTGTCTCTTCTTTTAAGATTAGGCTTAAAACTTTCCTTTTTGGCAAAACATAGAGTTAGGTTTGCAACAGGTGACCATGAATCCTTCTCCTAGTTACACTGCAATAGGTGTAGGCTGCTGGCCCCAAAAAGAAGGATAAGGACAACAAAGTGATGTTGTGAGAACAGATGCTCATCATAACCCCAGATCAGCTACTGCTGTCTCTGGCAGAAGGGAACAAAGACTGTATATAAAAGACTGAGACACACTTTATACTAATGGTTAGCAAGCTGGAGTTGTGAGTGCGTATCTGACTGAGAAACTGAGGATGCTGTTCATAGGGTAGCGACCCATCAGTCACAAACTAGAGAGTCAAAGCCATAACTAAAAGTGTTTGCTGAGGTCAGAGGGTTCGTTGTGCAGCCAAAGCAGTTGTCCCCTGGTGGCCATTAGAGAGAATGCAGCTTTTAAGATACATAGACCTAAAAGCTATGTCCATCTTTTATATACTGTCTGTGACCTGCTGCAAGTTTTTTTTTTTTTTTTAAATATCCAATGAACTAACAACAGTCTTCCCACTCAGGAGCCTCTGGGGTCCTTCTCATTGTGAAGAACTACACAGGTGACCGCCTTAACTTTGGATTGGCTGCAGAGCAAGCTCGTAACCAGGGCGTTGCTGTTGACATGGTGATAGTTGCGGAAGACTGCGCCTTTGACCAACCAAGTAAGGCTGGAAGAAGAGGCTTGTGTGGCACTGTCTTCATACATAAGGTACACAACAACAGCCTAATAGAGGTGTTATTTACTCTGGAAACAGCTCAACTTGGACCAGTACAAGTGTATCCTGAGTTAAAAGGGTTATAATATTATATCACTGTGCTCATTTTTTTTATGGTACAAATGCTGTTATAAAGCTACATGAGGCACATTTGTCCTGTCTGCCGGTTCATACATGCCAACCCTCCCTATTTTTCCGGGAGAATTCTGAATTTCAGTGCCCCTCCCGGAGTCACCATTCTCCCGAATTTCTCCTGATTTTCCACCTGGACAACAAAAATGAAAAACCATATCCCAGAATTCATAGCTCAGCCCAGCCAGTTCCAGTTTCCAACAATGGCGGCAGCTACTTAGTTTTAATATTACTCTTATTATTCTTTCTGGGTCGCAAAATAAACTTTTAGCATATTTTCAGGCGAGAATGTAGCTGTGTAAACTTCAAATAACTGAGTTGGCGAGAACAGCAAACTCCCGGCACGTTTTCAAGCCCCTGCGGTCTTTCGCTACTCAGGTTAAACATGATATATAAGTCACTTAGATAACCTAAAACTGTTATTGTTTGACTTTTTTTTCAGTGTTTTATTTGTTCCTGAGTAAATCCGTTTGGCTGAGATTAAAGTTACTAGATTAGATTAGATTAAATAAAACTTCCTCTGGGGTTTTCACACAGCTGAATAAACGTCAAACACAAAACTGACTAAACAGAAGTGTGAGATGGTCGAGAATTTACGCCAGCATCCGGTTATATTTAGATAGCAAGGAGCAGACGGCAGTTTCACTCCACCGAGAGAGCTCGTGACGTAATTCTGAAGGCTAGACCGTCACAGTTGCTCACTTCCGGCCTACCTGGCTTTTGGAGGACCCGGCCCACTTAGACCATGAAGGCTGGGTCCTCAGGTGGATGCAGCCTCTGCATTTGGACAGCCCCAGCTGGGGGACAGTAATAACAGTGACATTTAACTTACTTTAAATAAATAATTTTAAATAAATAAACACTGTAAAATTCAAGTTTTTTGAATATGTGTATATATATATATATATATATATATATATATATATATATACACCACCCCCCCCCCCCCCCCCCCCCCCCCCCCTTTGTCTCCCTAATTCTGAGGTCTCAAGGCTGGCAAGTATGTGCCGGTTACTGATCTTGCAAAAAGGAAACTGTGAAACTGTTCTCTTAATAATAATTTTTAAAAAAAAGGAAAAGCAAAAACAAATCTTAAAACGTATGGAGGACTGAAACTGCCAACATCAAACATGAATTAAATGTATAATATGCCCTTAAATGTGTCTAATTTAATTAAAAAATAATTAGGCAATAATTCATTCATAAACTCTGGCATTATTTTTTTTACTTTACCCTGTAATTATTTATTTTTCCCACGTAATTATTTTTTGTAATACATATTTTTATTAGAACCACAATAATAATGTCACATTTTATTAAACGCTCCATGTTTTTTTCCCACTGAATGAAGCTCTTTTGTGTATTTCTTTTTATATTATTATTTGTATTTATTTATTTTACCGTCATTGTTGTGAGTCATTTTATGATGTTGTATTTTGTTGATCTAGGTTGTTGGAACAGGAAAGTATACGTCATCTTGTGAACTTAAGCAGAAACCATGAATTTGTATATTTTGCACCATGCAGCCTCGTATCATTGATGCTTTTATTAGATTTTTGTAGTATTTTTCTTGCCTTTAAACATGTGGTCTCTCGCTCTGTTAGCTGGCTGGTGCTTTAGCAGAAGAGGGCTGCTCATTGGATCAGATTGTTTCCAAGGTGACGGAGATTTTAAAGAGGATCGGTGAGTCGCGCTTTCTTTTGGGGTTTTTTAATACATTTAATACTTTCTGGGAACACTGGAATATTTTTCTTAATGATGTTTCTGTTTTACTCCAGGCACTCTGGGGGTGAGTCTGTCTCCATGCAGCGTTCCCGGCTGCCTGCCTTCCTTCGATCTACCGCCAGGAGACATGGAGGTCGGGCTGGGTGAGGGATGATTAGAGGAGGATGGAAAAGTTGGAGTTGTGAGAGCAGGAGAAAGAGAGTGGCAGAATATGGAGAGCAGCCTTTTGGGCTGACACCAGTTATCTAGACTTTTATTTCCAGAACTAAACTTCCACCCAAGCTAATGAATACTTTTTACATTAATTTTTTTTTTTGTGACAAATGATTTAAAACCAGATCGTTAGAATGGCCAATCTCCATCTTTGACTTTCTCTGCAGATGTGACATCATGTTAGTGATATTTTAGAGAAAATGACTGAATTGCACCATCTAGTGGTGTGCAAGAGCAGTTAAGAGCAGCAAAATGGTTTAAGTGAAGCATAAAATAGTGTTTCCAAAGAATTCATTCAGTCAAATGGGGAGATGGGGATGTCAGAATTTCAGCATGTTAAATGGGTTGGGTGTCTTTAATCTGAATCTTTCTATTCAATTCATAAAACTGGAGGAAATTCACTTGTAAAAGCTGAGAAAATGATGGAAACTCTTCTAAAGATGCACAGATGGCGAGAGCACAGGAGACGAAAATGAAATAACAGCCAGTGTTTTCTTTCTATTTTCAGGTATCCACGGGGAACCTGGAATAAAGAGGTCAAAGGTGAGTCGGATTTGAACCTTAACAGCCTGAATGTGCTTTTACCATCAGGCTGTATGGCTCAGTTTCTGTTGATCTTCTCCCTCAGGTGGCCTCTGCTGATGAGGTGGTCAAGACCATGATAGACCACATGACCAACCCAAGCAGCCAATCGCATCTGCCGCTGAAATCAGGTTCACTAAATGACATCGATCATGTATCATGCTGACCGTTAGTACGGCTACTCTCCATGTGTGTGTTTTTTCCCTCTTTCCTACAGGAGACTGTGTGGTTGTGTGCGTGAACAACCTTGGAGCTCTGTCTTGCCTAGAGATGGCTGTGGTGACTAGATCGGCCATCATCTGCCTGGGTAAGTGTGTGTCTGTGTGTGTGTGTGAGGTAAGCATTTAACCATACTTAGCTGGGTCCTACTGTGCTTCTCTCACATGATCACCATTTTAACTTTAATATGCAGGAAAATAAATACCTGCATCTCACTACACCCTGTGAGCTAAAATATCGTCCATGTAAAACATAACCTTGTCTCTTTTATTTTTCATAGCTTATGAATGGCAGTTTTTGTGAGTAGCTAGACTAACTAAAAGAAACCACAGGGGAACGTTAATGAATGCTATTGAATAACATTTTTTATTAGCACTTAGCATGAGCTCAGATGTGATTTGATTGGCTGGTTTTGGTGGGTGGGGGAACAGCACGATCATTCGATAATCTGGAATATGATTGGTGTTTTTTATAGAAAGCCGTGGAGTGGTGGTTGCCAGGGTGATGTCTGGGTTGTTCATGACCTCTCTGGAGATGGCAGGAGTGTCGCTGACCCTGATGAGGGCTGACAAGGAAACACTGAGGCTGATAGGTAAGTGTTCAAACACATAGCTTTGTTTTTCTAAACTTGTGAGGGCCTTTGTCATAACATCACAGTGTATTCAGAGCTTCAGAACTTCAAACTTCAGAAGCTTCAAAGTGAATGCTTACATGATCGACATGGCAGCAGCAACCAGTCAGTCAGCTCTTTGGCATGAAAACCACGAGGCAAACAACTAATCCAGTGGTCTAAAGAGCTTGGAAAGAAAAGCATCTGGACTTCTTGGAGTTTCCTTGAAGAAGTTTCACTTCTCATCTGAGAGGCTTCTTTGGTTCTAAGAGCACCTGGTGGAGAGTCATAGATTTTAAGCCCTATGTGAGTGTCCCCCGAAGAGGGTCATGGACCCCCTATTGATCCTGTACCTAATCACATGAGGCAAGATGTGAAAACAAGTCTGACCCAGAGGTGAGAGTGTGAGAGTCTGAAAGTCATATGTCTGAACAATCCCTTATGGAGTGGAGGAGACTAGCAGCAATTAGAGAGCAGAGACCATGAAATCTCTGTGAAATTCACCAACATGTACCTACTTTCTGCATCTTTGAAGCGAGGAACTACTACTGGGCAGGAAAGATAACCGAGTGATGTATGACACAAGTTGGGATGGTCTCTTGGAGGTGTTTTCAAAAAAACTTCAGATTCAAAGGTCATTAGCTGAAGTTATTAGGCTGTGTCACCACTTTGCCAAAGTCTGGAGGAAGACCCACTGTCACCCTCACGAGACTGATTTGGATGTTCAGGAACAACCCAGAAATCATCAAAGCGAGTTATAAACTGGAAACTGCTGGAACACCAGCGTGTTTGTCCACAGTGAAGCGAGTTTTACATCTTCATGGATTGAGAGGGTACAGCCCAAGAAGGAAGATCCTGTGCCAAAATTTACATCTTCAAGCTTGACTGAAATGCCTTCTGAAGAAATGCTTTATGATTAGAAGAGGCAAAGATTGAGCTGTTTGGCCACAGAGAGATGTTTGGAGGAGTAAAGGTGAGGCTTTCAAAGCTTAAAACACTGTATGACACTATGACATCTCTGAGGGTGTTTTGCTACTGGTGGTACTGGTACATTGGATAAAGTGGATGGAATAATGAAGAAGGAGTACCTCTAAGTTCTTTAACTTCCCTTCAAATTGACAGCTAGGTGGTTGAAACTTGGACACAGTTGGTTTAAAAATTGGTTTAAATGGATAAAGCAGGCTAAAAGTAAGCTTGAAAGCTGCGGCCATGTCAGGAAACCAGGAAATTTAAATGAACTCCACCAATTCTACCAAGAAGAATGATCAAATATCATGCTAGAATTATGCCAGGAGCTTGTTGATGGCTACTCTGAGTGTGAAAGCCCAAAATACCCAAACCCAACCCAAAAATCACGATGTCATAAGTCACTGGACACTGAACATCCAAGGTCACCACTTCATGGATAATGGACCTTCCATGTGTATGGACATGTGCAGGTATATATGTATGTATATGTATACATATGTATATTTAGTGTGTACATGTGTGTGTGTGTACATGTCTATAAACAGGAATAGTGGTGGTACAATAGCTATATCAAGCTATATAGTTTATGTCTTCCATATTTCCAACCATATCCGTAATCACATACTGTGTATGCTACCATTGTATACAGTGTATTATCTTCCTTTTTTCATTGATTGTACTTATTGTATTTTTGTATTTCCTTCTGATATCTGCACCTGAGCTGAGGTGATGCAAAAATTTCCCCGTTGTGGCATCAATAAAGTCTTATCTTATCTCTCTCTTAAATAAATGCAGACTTTTGCACCCAGTTCTTGATTTCTCATTAGATTTAAATTAAGTTATTAGATTTATGCTGAACAATTATTCTACCCTGGAAAAGGACTGGTTCAAAGTAATCATAAATCCAAACTTAGAAGGAATTTCATCCCCAAGATGAGTGAATATTAACTTCTGATAGAACCACACAAATAAGCACTCTCATATGGGTTCAGAGACACAGATTTATATGATAAATAAATTTGTTACTAATGAAAAACACACACCTCCTTTGTCCCATCAAGATGCTAAGACTACTGCCCCTGCCTGGCCAAACCTCAGCAATGTGTGTTTGAGTGGACGCAGCTACATCACAGAACCACAAACAACCATCAAACGGCCACAAGATGAGAAGCACTCTGAAGGTTAGTTCATGAGCTTTTTGTGTATGTGTATTGCAATCAATTATTGTAATGCATTACTTATTCAAGGCTTATAATTGAACATGTTTAAAACTTGTTTACCTGCATGAAATTGAAACAGGATGAACAAAAGGAAACCAACAAATTGTGCTGTCAGAGAGGGCATATTGGACATTCCAGTTAGGACACATAACATCCATTAACTCTTACTCTCTAGCCCAGTATATAATTTCTGATCTATATATTAATAAAATAGTTTGGGCTTTTTTTAAATGGAAGTTTGTTTTGTTATTCTTGGCAGGACCACTTAGTCCTGTGATGCATAAAACCTTGGAGAAGATTTGCTCCACTCTGTTGGAAAAGCAGGAGGAACTCAATTCCCTTGATCGTGCTTCCGGGGATGGAGACTGTGGTAATACTCATGCTCAGGCTGCTAGAGGTAAGAAACTGTGATTACTATCTTCAGTAGCTTAAAGAGGAACTTGTAAAAATAGTGAAGATGCTTGTTCAGCCATTCAGGAGTGGCTTCAAGGACATGTGGTCCCCGGTTGCCCCGGGAAGCTGTTATCAGTCGTTGCTGGATTGGTGCAGGAGAAAATGGGCGGGTCTTCAGGAGCGGTGGGTTTATTGATTCAAGTGGTGTTTGACTGCAGTATTCTGTCTTAATCAGCACAAGCACATGTACTAATGCTCAGTTTATTTCAGTTGTACAGTCTGTTCCTCACTGCGGCAGCCGGTCATGTGACCGAGGGGCGGAGCAATGCTGCAGCCTGGGCCACTGCTATGAATGCTGGGACAGAAGCAATGAGAAAGTAAGGGTTGGTAACATTTTCATGTCTGTATTTATTTCAAAGTCCACTTTTCTTCTTCATATGGCCATTTAACTGCTGTTCCAGAGTTTTTGATCTTATGATCAATGTTGGCGTGCTGCTCTCCAGTTGGTTTAAAAGAAACTTAGTTTATTCATTACTACAGTCACATCATCAGCAAATGCTATACTTGCCTTCCAGTCTGAAAGCTCTGGAATATCCTTACATTTAACTTTTGAATTAATGCTCTCAGGTCCCATATTATTTGCCAACCTGGCAGGTGTGTGGTAGCCTATGTCACCATTTTCAGTGTCATGCTCCTCCAAAAGTCCAACACTGAGTTGACTTCATCAGGTCTTTCGCCGGATGAAGCTTTAAGTTACAACATTCAGAACATAGTTAATATTAGCAGGGGATTTCACTACATCTCCTGGTTTATAACACAATGCAAAAATACCAGTTCAGTTCTGGATTCATGTAAGTCACTTTATCTTGTATCCTCTGCAAAAATCCAGTATTCTTCCCTGTCAGATTTGGACAGCCATTGTCTACAACAACTGCAAGTTTCTTCCTTTTCCGACCCAGCTTATCGCAGCATACAGTTAGGTCCTTGAACAAATGACTAGCTGTCATAGTCCATTTTTGCATTGCTGCTAGTTCCTCTGTAATCTCAAAAGTACAAAGATGAGTAAGTGGGCTGTTAGTGTATGTCACAACTCAAGGAGAATAAAAGTCAAGGAAGAGAAAAGTGCAAATTGTCTTCATTGTTTTTCAACCGAACCTCCAGATTTCTGTGCAATGGCCAGGTCGGACTTAAATGTTGACTTTCTTGCAGATATGGTGGTGCCGCCCCTGGAGACAGAACAATGGTAAGATTTTTGTCCCCCAAATCTCATTTAATCTGAATTACCTAATTTATGAAGAGTGTCTTTAGCAGTGAAGTTTCTTTGTTTCTCTTACCTTGTAGCTGGATGCTTTGTGCCCTGCAGTTGATGAACTGATTAAGCTGGCCACAGCTCCATCTGGTGGACACATGGCTGTACTGCAAAGTGCTGTGAAGGTATGGTGCCACCTGGTGTTGATGTGGTTGCACTGCTCACTCAGCAGATTTTTCTACATAATGTTCCTTTTGCTTCGGTCTCCACAGAAAGCTGCTTCAGGAGCGGAGGCAACTCGTGACCTTAAAGCAAGGGCTGGGAGAGCCAGCTACATCTCACCCAACCTGGTCAGCCTGCCAGACCCTGGTGCTGTAGCTGTGGCAACCATCTTGAAAGCTATTCTGGAGGTGCTAGAGGGGCGAAAGTGATGCAGCCACCAGGATAAGAGTAGAGGGCTAATGCTACCTAAACAAAACTGTGATGCAAGAGTGATTATCATTTAAAATATTTTGATTTTGTGATGCATATTTTACATTTTTGGAAGCTATTTTTCACACTATACACAAAGTAAGTCATTACAAGCTGTTAAACTGAGTTTACGAAACAAAAGGATGTAAAAAATTATGGCAGCAGTGCAAAGATGTAAAGCAAAAATCAAGAAAAATAACTTTGGTATTGTCTCTAAAACATATTCCATTGAAAACTGAATCATATGAACAGCAGGAGACTTTTGTAGCAGAAGGGAATATTCATAGTTTCTACTAATAAAGGAAAAATCTATTAATAGATTGGTGTTAGTGATTTTGGGATTTGTTATTAAAAAAGCAAGATCCATTTATCCATTTTTCTGGTACTGATCTGGGATCACAGGGATTACTGGCATTCCAGAGAAGCCAGAGTCCATCTCTTGAAAGGCCAAACTCTTCACTCTGTCTCTAAGGGAGAGCCCAGCTTTTTTCACTTTGTGATCAGATGCTCCATCACCGTTTCTTCCTGCTGCAGCGATGATCTTGACTTTATGAAGGGTTTGTGTGATTGATATCAGTATGATTCAGATAATTAGTGAAGATAAATGTTTGGGAAATTCTTTTGTTGCATTTCCTGCTATATGATGTGCAGTAAAGATAATCCTAAAGGCTGCAATACAGCAGCTTTTAAAGTGAGGCCACAGCTCGTGCACACTAAGATGATCGCTTTCATGCAGCACATAATCTGTTGCCAGGTCTGTAGACCTTTTTTTTATTGTTCAGATACACGTTTGTTCTTCACACAACACAACTTTTATAGCAGCAGCATTCATAGTTCATTGGTGGGTTTAACACCTACTATGGTAAAAGGTTCAGGATGTGATGATATGAAAGGAAAATATTATTAACATGAAGATGACCTGCATTCATCTGTGCATGCATTCATGCAAACATCCATCATCCATGCATGCATGCATGCAGTCATCTACCCATACAATATCCATCCATGCATCTCCATAGTAATCCATGTATCCAACCATGTATGCATTGTTCATTCATCCATTCATCCTTCCATGCATGCATGAATCCAAACATGTATACATCATCCATCCACCCATCTACACATCTATCCATGATTCCTGCATGCATCATCTGTCTACCTATCTATCCATGCATCCATCAAAGTGTCCATCTACCCTTTGATGTCTGTCAGTCTGTTCGTGTGTCCGTACGGTGTTATCTTCATATTCAACTCTGGGTCCTGAAGGGAGTTGGAGCAGCTGCTTCTTTTATATATTTTTAATTTTAAATATGAAGGTCTTTTATCTTTCTTGTTCCACTGTGTGGCATAATACAGATTAAATGTAGTTTAGATTCCAGTGCAGTAGGACAGTCCTGATATAATAAAGTAACTAAGACATATTATGTGTACATATAGATATGTGTGCTTTAACAGCACACACCCACTCCCTGTCCTCTTCCACACAGTGAAAATGAGTGGACATGGTTCAACAACCGTCTCGTGATTCTCACAGTCTGTAAAGATTTTTCTCTTTGATGATTAAAACGTGCAGATAAAGTCTTTTTCTTGTCTTCCTTGCTTCCTTTCAAACTTCGTTTCACACTGTATCAAAGAAAAAAACAAAACAAAGAAACCCAGCTCTGCACCGACTTCCTGACACACATGCACAAAGTGTTGCTGTTTAGACTTTGAACACGCCCACACTCTCACACATATTAGAAACATGCTTCATGAAACGCTTTCAGTTTGAGCGACACCGCTGCACTCAGACCGCTGCAAAGGTATTTCTTTTCTTCTTGTGTGTGTGTGTATCCACGATAAAACTATTGTTACAGCTTTTATTTTCAGGAGTGAGTCGTGTATTTTTAATTTAGCTAACTTTTGATTAAATGTTTTGGACTAAAGTTTCCAAACGTGATATGCACCTGCTTTATCCACTTTTCAAAATTGAATCTATGTACAAGTATAAAGAATTAATTTACTAACTGATACAACAGATGAGATTAATTTGTCGTTTAGGAAAACAGATAATTGTTCATGGCACAGATTCATGAAGATGCTGGAATCTTCATGAATCTGTGATGTGAATCTCCTGTTCCACTACATCTCAAAGGTGCTCTACTGTTCTCACATATGGTGACTTTGGAGGCCTCTTGGGTGCAATGAACGCACTGTAATCTTCAAGAAACCAGCTTGAGATTATCCTGATCTTTGTGACATGGTGTATTATTCTGCACCTTGCACCTTTAGGCAAGTGTAGTTGTGATTTGGTGTTATATAAATAAAATACAATTGACTTGAAAAGGCAAGTCATGGCCAGGAATAACACTGATGCAGGCTGTGGTTTTTAAATGATGCTCACTTGGGGCCCAAATGTGCCTAATGCCATTATACCAGCACCACCAGACGGAAGTATTAATACAATGCATCGATCTGTGCATCCATGTTCATGTAACACCAACTTTTGACTGCCATTTGAATTTTGCCACAGAAATCAAGACTCATCAGACCAGGCAACATTTTTCCAATGTCTTATTGTCTGTTTTTGGCGCTATATAAATAACATTGAATTAAACCTGCTTCAAGGTTCCTTGTTAATTCAGAAATGCTCTTCTGCATACTTTGGTTGTAATGAGTGTTTATTTGAGGTACCATTGTCTCTGGTCATTCTTCCCTGACCTCTGACATCAACAAGGCCCAGAGAACTGCTGCTCACTTTACATTTTCCCTTTCAGAGTATTCTCTGTAAACCACAGAGATCACTGTGCAGTAAAATACCAGCAGATTAGCAGTTTCTGCAATACTTAGACCACCCTGTCCAGCACAAATAATCATACAACATTCAAAGTTTCTCAAATCACCTTTCTTCTTCATTCAGATGCAGTTTAGCAGCTTTACTGAATTAAACTGGGTGACAGGTGTATCCCACCAGAGGCCCTTTTTATGAAAGGCTAGAAAGTAGTTCAGGTACCCAACTGATGCAAACCTTGAAACTAACCTGCAAAAGCTGCAGAAACTCTGCTGCACATGTGTGAAGTATGCAGCTCAACTTGTTTGGTCCCGGTTGCCAAGATCGACCTATTTATAGAGCAACCTGGAGTGATTTAGAGAGCTGATAACCTCTGAGCATAACCGAGGTTGTGAGGTTTAGGGAAGCAAAAATAAGGAAATGATATCCTGGGCATGCCCAACTTGCTGTGTGAAAATGCAAATAAGCTCCTTAAGTAATTTAAGTGAGAGCATTTGCTTATGTTGACTCATTAGTACTTTTTGCCTTCATACTGAGCAGCACAGAGGTGCCGACCTCTGTCTTTTGTATTTAATTTGCTGTGTGTGTGTCACAGGAACAGAGAAAACGCTGTCTTACTTGCTGTGCATTCTTGACTTTCTGAGTCAGGAGTACTTGTAAAACAAAGCTTGTATAAAGTGGAGAAAAGGGTCAGACTTTGGTGTGTTATTTTAAGTTGTTGCTTACGTTATCTTCCTTTAATTATAGCAAGCTCAAAATAAGTGTAGCTCGACCCTCTTGGGTTGATGTGACTTTTTTTTGAAGCAATGAGTTTGCATGAGTAGAGCTAATGTTGTGGTTCAGCCCGCTCTTGTTTCAAAATGGCTTTCAGCGAAAACTCGAACAAAATGCTCCAGAGATCTTCAGGATTTTCTACCTACAATCTAAAAAATAAAAAACCCTTTAAATCTCTGTGATGGTGAGAAATGTTTTTAGAGTAATTCATAGCAAAATGCACAATTTCTTTTTTAAAGTAAAGCTTGTGTGGTTCGTTTTAGATTACTTACGTTTGAATCTTTTTTTGAGAGCAAATCTTGCTCTTAAAAATGATACCTAAGCTTACCTTCAGTTTTTTTTTGATGATCATGGACTATAAGCTCACCATGACACAGTAAAAACCTTTCCTTTCAGAATCTTTTTGAGTCCCTCTGCTCTTAAAATGTATCTGGTTAAAGTTCCATCTGAAAAAAGCAAACAAAAAAAAAAACAGACATAAAAAAAGACACCTTTAATATAAAGCAGCTTTAATTAAAAAATAATAATTCTACTCTAAGGGGAATTCATGCTTAGATGAGGATTTCTGGTTGTCATCAGTGCAGATAGCTGCTGTCTTGATAAACTGAACGTCTGCTTCGTGAATAAATTTGGAGGAAACATGGTTCAAAACAGTTCACAACATAGAGCTGAAGAATATGAAGAACACAGAAAAATGTGAATTTCGACTCTACATGTGCTGAGACACAACAACAGTATGGCTAGCAGCTGCTATACACTAAAAACAGTTTTTACCTTTAAGTCTTACAAAACTTTCCTTTTTAAACTTTTCCAAAGAAACTTTTGAAAATAAACTGACTGACGTCGTCATTTTCATTTTCTGGGTGTAACATGGGGTGCACAATCTAAGGATCATGAACTTTTAATGATAAAAAAAATAGAAATTGCGCACATTTTTATTGTGAAACAAGAAAGAAGGAAATGTTCTCAAAAAATTTGTCTGAAAACATAAATGACCATATTTATCTGACCAATCACTCTGAGTATCCACAGAGTCATCCTTAGTTTTTCCTTTTTGCTTTAGTTAAGGTCCACGTAGAAAAAATTTAGCTGGTCACTAAAGTACACGTCAAAAACCTCACATTTCTCAAGGCATCGTGTTAATCAGCAGCAGGATAGTGCAGTCATATCAGGGCAGGGCGGTGCAGCGGTTTGGCTGTCGGCTCACAGGAAGCCTTTCTGTGTGGAGCTTGCATGTTTTCTCTGCGGCTTCTCGTTGGTTTCCTTCAGGTGCTCCTTCCTCCTCCCACAGTCCAAACACATGCATGTTAGGCGCTTTTTGAGTTTTTTGTTTTAAAATAATGTGTAGGTTTTTATTTTATAGGCTTTTGAGATAATTTTGGAGTCACATTAGAGCTGTTTGGGGGTTTTGGTTGGGGGTGTGAGATTGTGGTTTGACCCCTTTAACACTCATTAGTCTGTAGCCTGCTCTGTGACTGCCACCATGCTCTGATTAAAAACAATCTAAATCTGGTTAATAATTTAACAGTTCTCAGAACTTTAAACCCTGTCATTTCCTTCACGTTGACCTCAATGGCATTGGCTCTGTTCTCTAGTTTCAGTGTCTGCAGCCATACTTCAACCAAACAAACCAAACCTGAAGAAAAATGCAACTTTTATTCCTTCATATTTAAGAAGCCATTACTTCTCATGTTTTCTCATTTCTTCCCTGTTCTTATAACAGGAAGTGTTTTACTGAGGCACCTGTTAACAAGAAAAATAACCAAACCAAAGGAACAGCTGCTGTGGTGACAACGCACTGACAATGCCAGGAAGCTCGTCTACCATAGTCATGAAGCTGATATATCAGCTTTTCTCGCTTTCTTTGTCCCCATTATCTGATTCATTTGTCTCTTAAAGATAAAAACCCAAAGAGATTGTGGGTCTTTTAAATGGTGTCGCAATCAATTTAAATAAATATCTGTGTGTTGCAGATGGAGTTTGCTTGCAGCCATGTTGTTTGCAACTGGAGTCCAGATGGACCAGGTGAGTTTCTTAAAGTGAATCTTTGCCAATGTGACAAATAATGCTCATGCTTGCTATAGTTAGAACCTTTCAAGTACATTAAGCCGGTGAAATGTTGACATCTTTGACCCTGAGTTGCAGAACAGTCTGCGTCTGTTTGTATTAAGTGCCACCAAAAAGGAAGAGAGCGTGCATAACTGCTTAAACCTGTTATAACGAAGGGTTTTTCCTCCAACTATAGGCGTTTTTCCTATGGGGCCCGAGTATGACAACATAGTGCCAGTAAAACAACAAGCAGGTAATTTTCTCACTCATGCACTTGCAAAAAATGTGCACAAGCATGCAGCTCTCATGACGCTGATGGTGATGAACCGTTGCTTTTTTCTGGCCAGAGCGTTGATTAAATTCTCAAGAGCATTGCAGTGAAATAACAGGAAAGCATATTAAGTAGTAATGTGTGTGCGTGCGTGTGTGTGTGTGTGGGCATGCTTGCAAATGCAAGACAGACAAAGAGACGAACTGTGTAGGAGATGTAAAGATAGAGGTTCAACAAGGGAAAGTCCACACAGAGAAAAAGATGTCAGATAGCTCTAATTATCAAGATGTTAGAAGAGTGTGACAGTTAATGCTGATAAAACTAAAAAACCTGTCCAAATCAGTTTGGCTCCACCCCCATTGCCAGTAAAATTGAATTTCTCACCAACACAAATCAATTTCAGTGAAATTAATGTAAGAAATAAAGTAAATATTCCACATATCAAGTATTAACAAGTATTAACGCAGATCATAAAAACAAAAATCAAGATTTGTATTATTTGTTCTGCAGATAGATAGTAAATGGTTGGATAAGCACAACAGAATGGATGGATGGTGACAGATGGCCTGTAGAATTTTTTCTGAGTTCCTCAGGCCTTAAAATGTTGTTGGTTGAAGTTCAATCAGAAAAATCTAACAAAAAGACAGCATTTATTATAAAACAGCTTTCATATTTGCAGCTAGATAGATGGATATTAGGTGAACGCTTTTATGACTT